AAAAAAAAAAAAAAAAAAAAACATTTTGTCGCGGAAGATTGTTGGGAGAGGAGTCTGCTTTTTATCTGGTAGGTAAAATCAATGAAGCTACCGAAAAGGCTACGAACTTAGAAATGGAAAGCAAAATGAAGAAATGACCTTAAATTTTAGTGTCCTGACTCCAAAACCAATTATTTGGGCTTCAGAAGTGAAAGAAATTATTTTAGTTATGAATAGTGGACAAATTAGTGCATTACCAAATCACGCACCTATTGCCACAGGTGTAGATATAGGTATTTTGAGAATATGCCTTACAGCTAATGATGGATGGTTAACGATGGCTCTAATGGGTAGTTTTGCTAGAATAGACGATATTGTGGTCACTAACTATTGATGAAGGAATTTATAGGTAAGAAATACTCTCAATTGGTAGAACAAAAAATAAAGTCATGAAAGCTACATGGCCTCGAATGTGTAATAAAAGACATATATAGATGTAATTTCAAATATATAATCCTTACTTGAGCATACTAGAGTTAATGTTTATGTCAATTTGTTCATCATTTTTCATGTTAATTCACCGAACATAGTTTTAAAATTGTCCTCCCATTCAGATGTTAATGTTAGAGGGAGATATTGAAAGAGATAGGAATAGATCATATTTTCTGACTCAATTACTTACTCAATTCGAATATTTACAGACGTATAAGCTAAAATGATAAATTATAGAAATTATAGATAAATTCAAATATAAAGACCATCTCTTAAAATCTTATTATTTGAATACTTTAAATCATATTTAATTACCATTTTTTTTTTCAACCATTGTGGATGGAGTGAGAATCTTTATTTAGTTTGTTTTAATCGAGGGAGAAAAACATGAATTATAATTGAAGTTACATGCGACAGGGAAGAAAAAAAAAAGGAAGAAAAGAAAAAAGCAGGACAAGAAATCAGTCCTTCAGATGGTAATCAAGAATTGCGTAGGTGGCCTGGAGAATTAGGATGAGGAAACCAAAAATAGCAGCGATTAAGGAGATGATGGTCCATGGGTTTTGAAAGTACTTGTGCTTCAGAGTCGCGCAGCGTTCATTCCAGGGCTTCTTGCAGTGCGCATTCAGCTTCTTGTGGACCAACATCATCTGCAAAGTACATATAAGTAGAAGAAGAAGAAAGAAAGAGAAGGAGAAGGGAGAGATAAGTTGTTGGATTATGAAAGTCCCACCTTCGCTAATCTAGAGAATGATTATGGATTTATAAGTGAGAAATACTAACTCCATCGATACGAGGCCTTTGTGGAGAGTGATGTTCATCTAACAGACTCAACCTCTAGTCCGCTTCTCCAGTTCCATGGGTAACAAATGTTGTTTCCCATGGTGGTATGGCCCAAATGACACCAACTGGGGATCGAACCCTTTGTTGAAAGCTTCGGGATGAGTTTGTCTCATGAAGAATGGTATCGTTTTCCGCTTCGCCCTGATTCCATGTCGACCAAGGCAGGAGAATTCAACACTAGTTGATGCAGACTGTCCTTCACCTTAATAACCAACTCATTCTCATCTCTAACGAGGCTGATGCTGATGGGCACCGATGGCTGTCTCTCCATTGCTTGCACCTTCATTCCCCAACCCTCATGGATATATATGCATAAACTTAACAACAGCCGCATTAATCTTTGGTTTTACTTTTGGTTCCATCAATAAAACTTGCATCAAGGGGTAATGAATATGATGAGTGTAATATAAACTCACTCATATCGACCTCTAGTGCTGGTTCTAGCAAAGCAACAACTTTGTAGTGGGAACAATTTTGCTTAATCCAAACACTCTTCTTCAAAACGATGGAAATAAATGGACTAAGGATATTTAGTATTAAACTATAATTTGCAAAAATCAAGTCGCCGCCGCCTCCCTTCTTGCCAAAATTGGCTTCTTTGTACCCACAAATTGCTTATAAAAGAGTGTGAACTTCTTGACATTGCTTATAAAAGGTGTAGACCATAAGTTAGATTGTATCCCTTAAATACTAACCTTGCTTTAAACTCTTTGTAAGGTTTATTTTTATAAGTCAAACTCACATAAAAACATTATCGAAAATACAAAGTCAGATATTATAATTATTTTTATAAGTCAAACCCACATAAAAACATTATCGAAAATACAAAGGAGTAATCAAGAAATGCGAAAGTGGTAGGTGGTGTGGACGAAGTTAGTATTATTTCTTTTTGTCCTCCTTGTATTATTTCTTTTTGTCCTTCTTGTAGTAATCAAGAAGTTGGTAGATGGCCTGGAGGATTAGGATGAGGAAACCAAAAATAGCAGCGGTTAAGGAGATGACGGTCCATGGGTTTTGAAAGTATTGGTGCTTCAGAGTTGCGCACCGTTCATTCCAGGGCTCCTTGCAGTAGTCATTCAGCATCTTGTGCACCGCCATCATGTGCCTGTTGGGACCCATAGCCACCCCTTTCCCCAGCCGACTGAACAACTCTGCCGCTTCTCTGTCATTCCCAAGCGCATTTGCCAACGTACCCTTGGAGGATAGCAGCGCCACATCTCTCTCGTCGTCTATCAAATTACTCATCAAGATCACGAAAGACGTGATGAGGGAAGGCGCTTCTTGGGCTGCACCCTCAACGTGGAGTTTCTCAAATGCCATCACGTTTAAGAAAGTGGACTCAGTGTTGTCGTCCACCATCAACATCGGCAGACTCAACACGCCTTCTACTTCATCGAAAATCACGTCCTTAAGGCTCTTCGTCTGGCTCATCTTGAATTTGATCCCCGCTTCATGAAGCTTTGTTGCGGGCGGAATGACTTGAAACTCCGCGCCTGAAAGCTCCCCCTTCTCCTCCTCCTTCCACTTCTCCTTCCACTTCCCCTCCTCACACCACTTCGTCCGGTCTATCGGAGGACACAATAATGAGGCCTTATACAAGTCCAAAATGTGCAAGAATTCATCGAGCAGATCTTTCTGGGAGATGCCCAACCAATTGCAAATCAGCTCCTGTGTGCATTTTTTAAGTATATAAGTGGAAGAATAAGAAGAAGAAGTAGAGAGATGATTAGAATTTAGAAGAAGAAGGAGAAGGGGGAGATGAAAGTTAAGTTGCCTGGAGTGGTCGCTCATCATCGCCTTCTGATATGAAGATAGGGCCTGCTATAGAATGCAGCTTATGCAGAAGCTTCAAGGGTAGCTGGTTCTCAAGCAGCAGCGTTTCCAGCCTTATATCCATCTTCATGTTAATTAGAGATGCAGGGCAGTCGCAGAACAATCGCAGCATGAAACACCCATCCACAATCATGAGCTTCAAGAACTTCCCGGGATCTTGCGTCCATTCTTCCTCAAGCCTATCGTATGATTCCAAGAGGTCATCCAAAATGGTGGACACCTCCCTCACAATGGCTTCAACGGGCAGTCCTCTGGTTTTAAGAGTGTTGAACGCTTTAGCCTTTTGCCGTTCCATGGGCGACAAATGTTTCTTCCCATGGTGGTATGGCCCAAATGACACCACCTGGGGATCGAAAGCTTTGTTGAAAGCTTCGGAGTGAGTTTGTCTCATGAAGAATGGTAGTTTGTAGATAGAATGTTTGTTGGTAGGAGAATCCAACCCAGGTTCATTCAGACACTCCATCACCTGAATAACCATGTCGTCAGGTTTATCCACATTGTCATCTCTAATAAGTTTGATGGACAGCGGTGGCTGTTTCTCCATTGCTGCTACCCAAATTTGCACCTTCATTCCTCAACCCTCATGGATATATACAACAACATAGAGGGGCAGCACCAATATTTGGTTTTGGTTGCATGAATAAAACTTGTCTTGACATCCAAGAATGTGTCTCGTTTCTTTTTTCTTTTGCTTTTCTTTTATCTTTAACATTATTCCAAACACTTTTTAAAATGATGGAGAGTTTTATCAGAACAGCACCACGTTAGGCCATATAGCACTCCAAACAACTCTCAATCGACCTTTTCAAATTAGTCATATTTCGGGAATTTATCTTGGAGGAGCTGCTTGTTAAGCAAATTTGATCATATCACCTAAAATACATCAAACGGGTAATGATATCCTAATGGTACAGTTCTTTGAGTCCCAACAAAGCAAAGCAAAAACTCGTTAAAAGTGAAAACGAAGTGGTTGGCTTGAATAGGAATAATGCTTTGTAGTGGGAACAATTTTACTTCATCCAAAGACTCTTCTTCAAAATGATGGACATAAATGTTACCATCTATCAAACCTTTTCTAAAACCCTATATATGTAAGTCATCAAAGCTTAACTTCAACCATAAGAGTTCGCAAAATCCTTGAGCAAAAGCTCGAAATTCTAATTCTAGAGTACACTTTTTAAACCTATACGTCATCCAAATTACCTCCAAAGTAGATCTTTTTTCCACTATCCAATAGTCACCTGTGGTGTAAGCTTCCCATGCAAGAAAATGATAAGATTTCCTTTTATATAACACAACACCCTGCAAGCTACTTGAAGGTGAAGCTCTCGTGGTTCATGCATGAATAGGCTACACTCAACTTTTGATGCATGAGTGTGAGCTACAAATATTAGCCTCTACCCTCTAGTACATTTCTCTACTGAGTCTCCCAAATGGATCCATTAGAATTGGTGCAAGTTTGGTTTTAAGAGTACTTTGCTCTGTCGTCTTAAAATCAGATTCACTCCAATGATAAAATGAATGGAAGAAGAAGAGAGAATCGAAGATGAAGATAGATGAAAACAATTCCAAGGTCCCAATTTGGGGAAGTCCAATTGGTTTTATTATACATGAAAAAAAAAAAAAAAACACAGAACCGAGGGCCTCATGCCTAGACCTAGTCTGCTCCATCCAACACCACAAAGGGAAGAGATCCAGAACCAGAAGGGCCCATTATATACACACACACACACACATTGGTGGGAATCAGAAGTAAAGAAATGAAGACATTCAAATGCTTACACACAAGGGGTTGTTCAACGCCGGGCAGGATCCACCCACTCCAGCAGTTTTGGGAGTGTCAGCATAAGGGGGCCTGAAACCAAAGGGCATACTATATACTAAATGACAATAATAATAGATATTGTAAACTTGAAGTGAGCTGGTAAAAGGGATCCCGTACTACGCAGTCTTGGTGTTGTCCTGGATGTGGGCCACCTTCCTAAGAATGGATTTGTTGATAAACTTGTCGGCGGAATTGATGACGGTGTCGGGCTCCTCCACCTCCGAGATGCTCTCCCTCTTCTTCTTGCTCACATTGACCACCGGGGAATGCAGCAGCTGCTGCTTCGCCGTGTGGGTTCCCATCATCAAAACAATCCCTACGAACCCCAACACAATGTAGACTGGGGCGTACTCACCCTTCATGTACTCGCTCCTACTCGGACTGCCCCTGTTTTCCACAATCAACCATTCATTAGCAAGCACTACATATTATAACTATTCAATAATAGTGGGTTTGCTTATTAACTTAGAAGACGTAGCAGCATTTTCAATGGTGGAAGCGGTGCTGGACGACGCTAACCGACGCTTCCCTTGGGTCCTAAGCATTGATTTCCACGCAGACTGCATGCATCACAATATCGTTATCAGCAGTAGTCAGATATTAATGAATAATGCTCCTACAAAAAGCAGGAGAAGAAAGAAGGGGTTGGAGCGGCGTGGCTCACGGTGGGAGAGGGTCTGAAAGCCATTTCTTTGGATCGTGAGCAGATGGGGATCGGATTGAACTCGTGTTTAAAAGGGTTAGTTGTTGACCAAGTTTATGGAAGGCCATGTGGAGGACGTACAACAGGGAATACCAACTCCTGATGCGCCTTGGCCGGACACGTTACCTCCATGCACACATTTTAGGACTTCTGGTTTTCACACACCAACTGTTCGCCTCATATTCCGCCCTCATTCTAATTTATAGCTACCGCACGTTTTCGTCCACATAACAACATAGAGGTCCGGAGTTTTTTTTTTTCTTCATAAATTTCAATGTAATGCCGTCCCTAAGTTCTTTGTTGTTCTGTTTTTGGTTAAATTATTATTTTAGTCCAACATAGGTTATTTCTTAGGTACTTCTTTTCAATGTTTGATATATATTTTTTTTTTCTTTTTGTCTAGTTGGGATCTTTTTGTCTTCTATTACCATATTTCACATCCAACCATGTAGAATACAAAACCAAGCTAAAAAGCTACTAAACATTGACATACTCCAAACAAGTCAGAATGCTTATACGATATCTACAACTAGTGTCCAGACACTAGCTATATTCTAGCAATTTAAATCAGAGGCAACGTCAAGAATCTGCCAAGAGTGTTGAGACACTTGTCCCAAGTACCCTATCCTCAAAACATGTCCATGCCTCAATTATTGAAGTTTCGACCACAGCATCTATGGTAGAGCATCTTATGGTTGAACACTACTTGAAATTCCTTGATTAACACACTTGGGTGGAGCATAGAGGCATTAATAGAAATCCATACATGAACATTCTTTGTGTACATTTTGAGAGAAAATTTGGGAGACTAAACGTTTATATGTTGTTAAAGTACCTTCAATTTTAGGAGAATGTCATTTGGACCAAGTCTAATGTAGTATGGTGACATTTTTTTCTAACCTTACTAGAAAAATATGTTGAGTTTCTATGTCTTTTGTCTATGAAACTTCCTATACTGATCATTCAGAGAATTTGGATGTTGTGTTCATGTGGCGGGAGGACACAAATTTGTTGCTCAACTACATGGAGGAAGAACGAATCGTATTGGACACTAAATTTTCAGGGTGTGTAATAATATGGCAAAAGCTGGGTGGGCTGGGTGATTTGAACTTCTCCATTCGCCATATTCAAAAGCATTATGGATAACCAAGGCCGAGGAAACAGAGGGCCAAACATTAGACCTCATCAGCAAAAATATGTCAGAATATAGTATCAAACATTCTCTGCGACACTCGTTCGATGGATGCTACTTAGTAGTACAAAAACAACAAGCACACCAGAAAAAGACGATAAGAACACTTGAAAATAAGGATCAAGGGGGGAACAAATAGACAACCACTCCCTGACATTGAGATAAAAACAAGAATTCCCGATGACTTTGAATTAAATATCTGATAAATAACAAATATCAATCTAATATTTCCAACACTAAAAGCATCAGAAAATAGGATCTAAGTTCATAACTCGTGGAATAATGGCAGCCAAATCAAAACAGTTCGATCAATTAAAGAAGTATTGGATAACACGCAATACAACTGATGTGTGAATTACTTCAAACAAAGTTTAGTTTCATTGAAAACATGAAAATTAACGTACTGCAACAACGGGGACAAAATGCTCCTCTTCTCAAGCAAAATTGAATAATCAACATGCAAAGCGTAGAAATCCCGAGACAAAGAAAAATTGTGCACAATTGCAATATCAAAATTCAAACCCATCCATCCTGATCCTACTAAATGCCAATTCTGGGGCCAAGGAATTAGTCACCCTTTCTTCTGAAGGAGCAGCCTTCTGTTAGCCTAGCGCGCCCTCCAGTTGGCTGGCACAAGACCGACTGGCAATTCCCACATACCACGACTGTCTGTGAATGACTGAATACAGTGGTTCTGTTATTCATTCAAAGAGTTATGTGCCATTACTCACTTAAGAACCCAACTTCAACAACTTGCAGAAAAAAGAAAGGTAACATAACCATAATACATGAGAAAAGATGAAAACTTACATGTTAAAGCAACCCTGGCACTTCACATCCTGCATATATAAATCACAAGACAGCTCGATCACCATTATCGGAGAAAAGATTAGATCAAACAAAGCAAAAAGAATTTAAACGAAAGAGCAAACCATGAAGAATGAGTTGGGCGACTGTACGAGACGCTTGAGCTTATGTTTTCTCTTCTCAAGTTCGGCCGGAGGATTGAGCAAATCAATATCGTTTTGAAGAACCTGAAAATAGCGTGAAAGAAAGTGAAAATTGTTGGATCCAAATTCAGTAGAGATAAAAAGGCATAATCGAAAGTAGCAGGAAGTTTACCATGTTGATCAGTAAGGAACTGTCTGGATCGCGAACCCTAGAATCCCAACGAGAGTTCGCGAAAGAATCAGGACGGTGCAATGAACGTTATAAAAAGGCGATAGAGCGCCGTCTAGTAAGAATATAAGGGAGCGGCTGGAAATTTTGAACCGTTGGATTTGGTTAGAAATAAATCTCAGCCATGAACGTTATAAAAAGTCTCTGAAGTGCCTAGGGCTACGCACGGCCATGAACCGAAGGGTATAACCGTCCATTCACAAATATGAAGTAAAATGTTCTTCCTCTCTATCAAAAGAAAATTATTATTTAGGTTAAAATTTTATTTTTGTCCTCGTCGTTTGGATTTACTTTAATTGGTTTATTCCCTAATTCACTATTAGAGGGATGAGATATAATCCTCATGCCCAAATTTTATTTTATTTCATTTTATTTTTAAAGAAAACCCTTTCAAGAATTGGATAGAAAAATTAATTGAGATAAACAAAAAAAAAAAAAGAAAGAAAGAAAGAAAACAAATTCACGAAATAAATTGAGACCCAAGAGAAAGATTTCTAAAGGAATGCTCGTATTACAATCACTCCCATGCAAATATACAAATGTTGAGAAGAGTCAATATATGATATTATACACCAATAAAAAAGAAAAAAAAAAAAACATGAACAGTTTGGGTTGTAGTAGCGTTATGTATAAACTCTGGACTAGTGACAAAGCTGCAGTAAGAAGTAAAAGCAGCTCGAGTGATAACATTTCTTCCTGGTGGGTGTCATTCAGATGTTCTAATCAACATTCTGACCAAGCTCTTGCTGCTCAAGCTTTGCAATCAACGCCTTCTTTTCGTCCTCTCCAAGATCATTGAACATGAAAACAGATTTGTCGCCAATATCATCCTGAAAGTAAATAACAAACAATAAAATGCACTACATATTCACGTCTTTATTTTCACTACAAAATAGGGTCTTCTGATTTAGAGAATCATCATTCGCTCAAACATTACCTTGATGGGCTGAGTGAACTTTCTTCCGGCAAATATCACAAACAGGGCCATCCATGAACCTAACAGACCAAGTTTGGCCCCATCGTCCATCAAACCACTCTGCATTTCAAACAAAGCCCCTCCAAACAGTTAGCGTACAGGCTCCTCCAAAGCTACAAAGACTTTAGGTCTATGGCTCAAAAAGATGCACATTCCTTCATCATAATAATGCAAGCAAGCAAACAGTACTACAAGGCAACAAGGTACCACGGTTGAAAACTTATCATACATGTTATACCATGCCACGCTTCTTGTTGAAGAGTCTAACTCATGAGTTTCCTTGTTTTCTTATCTACTTTTTTTTTAATATATATTTTCAAAAAATAACCAAGTTTTGAAAACTAAAAAAAAGTAGCTTTCACAAACTTATTTTTGGAATATGAATCCAAATGTTTTCTTAAAAAGGATAAAACTCAGAGTACAAAAATGATAAGAAAACAAGCACAAATTTTAAACAATAAATAAAAAAACAAGATCTTAATCATTCATCAATGAAGTTTCCAATTAGGAACTGCGAACCGAACCATACCAGGTGGCCTAGTAGTAGCGTTGGTATGACAAAGGTAAGAATTCCAGCCTCAAGCTTCCCATAGCAAAGACCTGCATAGAGGACAAACAGGTATTGGAAATTGAAACCGATACTAATCCTAAAGTAGGCGTGACAGATTGATATTATACTCTGAAATATGTCTCACTGCATTTCAGACATCATACACCACAGGCTATTTTTTGTATCTTTAAAATGACCAGGAGGGACAAAAATAAACCACGGGGAGACAGAATAGATAAATCAAATGACCCAATATCACAATAGAAACCTCTGCGTGTGATTAATAATTAAGTCCAACACCCAGCCCTCAATATCTTCTTTCTTCTTATTATTGCGAGCTTCATCAAGACTGCACTAGTGATCTATGAGACTTCACAAAAATACGAGCTTCGTAAACTTCAATGTCTTCTCCCTTATTATTAGCTTGCTTCATCATCAATACGACTTTAAAGACACATAGTAAGTCAAAGACCCACAAGATAATAGAAATACTCGATACCTTCTTTGAAGACAAGTCCAGTCAGTGCTGCAAAGAGAGGACCAATAAACCAGACAGCCGATGGGTTATCGACCACATACTGCACTAAGCTGTCCCCAGCTGGTTGTGCAAGATTTACGTAAGCTACCAAAGATCCAGCAACACCAAGCACCCAAAAAGCTTGAAGAGTGCGCTTAATTGCTGTTACATATATGTGAATCAAAACTAGGGATAAGCCTAATCCTCCTCCGCCCAAGGCATATAACAGATCAAGATTTTGCTTAAGTGTGTCACTCAATGAAGAGTTATCGGGTAAAAAAGCAACTGATGAAGCTATCACAAAAGAGGTAGCAGCTGTCACTAAGCCCGCTCTATATAAAATTACCTGCCACAGTAAGCAAATTATCACTGAAATATTTGAGACTGTCTAACATCTTGTCATAGACTGTCTACGCAGGTTTAACCGCATGAGACTGTCTTCACCAATGAGTTATTGTGCGAGTACACATCAAATCCTAAATTACTAGTAAATGAATGCTGCTATCAGGTTTAAGCACTATGACACATAATTATTTAGCCAGGCACCATGATGATCTTGTTGAGGATGGTTGGGAGAGAGTTCCACGTTAGCTAATTAAAGGGATGATGATGAATTTATAAGTAAGGAATACATCTATATTGGTATGAAGCCTTTTGGGGAAACCAAAAGCAAAATCATGAGAACATATGCTCAAAGTGGACAACATCATATAATTGTGGAGGTTTGTGGTTCCTAACATGGTATCAGAGTCATGCCCTTACTTAGCTCAGTCAATAGAATCATCAAGTGTGGAACAACTACCTGACCCATCCTTGGACGTAACTTACAAGTTCTTAACAATTCAGGCCAAATTTGAAGTAAATGGGCAGTTAAGGTGGGGAGATGAACAGTAACAAACCATAATACACACGAATATTGGAGCTAATACACATAATCAGTTACAGGGCAACCGCAAACCCCAAATTGTAGGAGACAACAATAGGATTAAAAGAAAAGAAGAGAAAGAGCAAGTGAAAGGAACCTCTCTAACGTCGGAAGGATCAACGGTCCAAGGACCATAAATTCCCCGATAGACAGTGGAAGTAGGCGAGGATTGGCCAGCAGCCTTGCACTTGAGAGCTGATAACTTAGATGGTGAAGGGAAAGCAACTGGGGAAGGAAGCAGCAACTTGGTTTTAATATCAGCTGAATAATCAAGAGAAAGAAGGTTGGAGGGAGAAAGAATGGAGGCACATAAACATCCACACGCCATTTCGGACTCTCTCCGCCACAAAATCTGGCGCTCGTCTCCGTTTCCGTCGCACCAGGAAATGTTTTCTTAAAGACCCAGGGCATTCATCGCTAATGAGAACAGAACGTACACGATCATGATTGTGGGCCGGGCCGGATTTCATTAAATACTGATAATGGGCCGACAATTAGTGAGGGACATTTTAGTTTCAAAGCCCAATTCAAAAATGTTTCGCGGGAAAACTAAGATAGTAGTTAGTTACAACTTAGAGGGGTTTGGATATATTAATTTTAATTCAATAAATGGGCAAGCATTTATTATGGATAGAGCATCATGCAATGCAATAAAAGAATAATAGTGAATTACTAGTAATTTTGATACGTTAATGGTGAAACTTAAATTTAGAAATAGAGTAAATGGTGAAAGTTTAATGTGTTTAGTGTAGGAGTATTTGGGCGTGGTGTGTTTAGAAATGATGGCGACAGTTGGGTGCGTGGGAGACGAAACTTGCAAGGGAATAATAAAAGTAAAGAAAATAGAAAAGGGAGGCAAAGCCGCAAAAGTTGACGTGGAAAAAGGCGAAAGTAGCAGAGCACCGTACGAGTGTAACTAGTGAGCATCACTAAAACAAACAAACAAACAAAATGAAATCCATCTGAGATCACCCTTTTGTGGAAGATGGAACTCGGTTTGTCCGGAGCACTAAGGGTAAAGGTAGTGCTTCCGCATGCGTAATGTTTAGACTCATTCTCATCCATCATATCATATTTGCATAAATCCTTTGTATGCTCTTATCTCTTCACTTCGTATAATATCAAACCAAACCCTCCTTTGTGTGCCGCCGTCGATTCCCCCATTTTCTTTCGGTGCCTTTTCATGGAACCATCATTTTTTTGTGTTCCTTACTTTTTCCGCATGTCCCATCATTTCCAATAATTCCATGGAGCAATATACGATAATAATAATCTCTTCTACTTTGTGACGGACACGATGGGCTCCTAATACTTGTAGACATATATCGGCCAACTTTTTTATTTACTCCTCTATTCCAATATTTCATTTGGGAATGAGTTGAGAGTTATATGGTTTGTAAATTATCATGAGCTAGGAAAATCATGAAAATAGGGGATGGATATATATATAAAATCTCATACGTGGTAGTAGTTGTGAGTACAAAAACTCATATAAATGTCAACTAACAATCAACATTGGTTTGATTGGTTGAGCCACCGGGGCCGAGATCTTGATCTTGATCTTGTTCTTGTTCTTGGTGTTGGGACGAGGAAGAAGAAGAATAAAAAGGGTATTGGTGGGGTTGGTTGAGAAGAGTGGAGGAGTAATAAGGGAAGTCGGCGTCCGTGCTGGAGAGGAGTTGGGCGTACTGGTGAAGTCCGGGGAAGGCTTCTTCGTGCGACGGAGGAAGTGAAGGGGCTGGCGGGGTCGGGGCTAGAGGAGCGGAAGAAGCACCAGCCCCACCGGCGGGGAGAAAGGCAAAGTGAGGAGGGTTGGGTTGAAGGCGTTCAGGAAAATTAAGCTTGGCCTTGTTGCCTTTAAACCTCAGAGCGGCGTTGTCATAGGCAATGGCAGCAGCCTCGGCAGTGTCGAAGGTGCCAAGCCAAACTCTAGCCGCTTTGTTGGGGTCACGAATCTCCGCTGCCCATTTTCCCCATGGCCTTTGTCTTACGCCTCTATAATGCCGCTTCCTCCCACTTTCTGACATTACACACATATATACAAATATGTGAATGGGTGCATGTGCAAGAGCTAGCGGCGCTATATATGCAAATATATATATATATATATATATATAGTTTTATATTATATCAAAGGCATGGACATATCTCCTCCTTACATTTTTATAATAATAATTAAAGACATGCACACACATGACATGGACGTATCTCTTTCCTAGATCTCCCCCATGTTCTTCATTTTCTTTGGCTTTGGAAAAAAAAATAAAAAATAAAAAAAAAAAGTCGGTGCCCGTGACCAAATTCTGTAACGTAACATGCATCGATCCAACTACCCTTATTGACCACAATGTTTGATGATGTGTTTAGTATATGTGTTTGTGAGGAAAAAAATAAAAGAGAATTGAAAATTGAGGAAAATTGAGGAAAATTGAGGAAAATGAAAGTTTGGTGAAAAGCGTAAAGAGAATAGGAAGGGTTGAATTGAATGGTGTGAAGGAAAACGAGGAAAAGGGATGGATGATGATATGATATGCCAAACCAAACAAACACCAATTTTATTGCTTTCTTTTTGGGTGCTTTCCATTCTCCACCACATACCACAAAGAGAAGTTGTTTACGCAAAGTGAGATAGATAATAGATAGATAGATAGATGCATTGAAGTTTATGAATATATTTGAAGCATATGTGTACCTCAAAAACCCCAAATCATTTTGATAAGTAAGGTGAAGAGAAAGTACCTTGATTCTGAGACAAATTAGAAGAACCCAAATCATTTTGATCTCTTTCTTCTTCCTCCGCCGGTGCTTCCCACGGAAGTGGGCGCTTTCCATGTCGCCGATCCACCTTTCTTCTCTAAATTACTAATTACAAAACCCTCGTCTCTCTCCTCCCTTCGTCTTCTTCTTCTTCTTCTTCTTCTTCTTCTTCTTCTTCTTCTTTCAATTTTGGATACAAACTCAACACAACAGAACAAACTTGGAAGAGGGAAAGATGATGAGGAAGATGAAGGGCATATATAATACACACACACACACCCCCCCCCCCCCCC